ATGCGCGAAGAATGCCCGAAGGCTGCTCGGATCTGGCCTCGAATTAAGCCAGTTTGTGATGTTTGAACTTTGGTTGGCGAGATGAACATTTCCTTTTTCACTGAACATTGCTCCGCTCCCGCCATTTTCCAACAGCTACAATAGGTCGCATAATTCAAATGATAAATGTAAATTTCTACGAAATGGCGGAAAGAATTCACTTTTTTCTTATCATACATTACGTTTTCACGGTCTCAGTCCCCCCCACCCTTTTCATAATTTCTAATATACAGGGTGGTCCGAAAGTGTAGTTACCCCTATTTAACATAATTTTCTATTTCAGATGGCTGACACGAGCTGCTCTATTGCTGTTCTTCGTGTTTTCGAGACAACAGAGAAACAAATATGGAAGACAAATTCGTAAGTAATGAAATAAAAGGTTTACTACACGAAGGTAATGGTGACTCGGTATGTATCCGAGCTCCCCACAGAGAGGGATGTGGCACAAGGCCGGTTTAACGTGGGTTTTTTCTGAGCCTGTAGGGCCGGGCAAAAATTTCCCGTAGACTCCGTAATAACGGGGTCGGGTTTGTCTACCTGCGCAGACGAGACTTTGTTCTTCGGCATAGCCTCTTCTGGGTTCCTCTCTGCACGAAGGCACAGAGTTCGACAAGAACTAAGAGCTTAGCAAGCGGCTAAGATCTAAAGCTAATTCTCCTCAACTTCGCTAAACTCCGCTTATTTACATAAGTGGACGATTCCATTCATTTATGTCCTATATCTATCTATCTATCTATCTATCTATCTATCTATCTCAGCCAGTCCATATCTATTTATCTATCTATCTATCTATCTGCTGACTCGGTATTTACCTAACCTTCCCCCACAGAGTGTTCGACAAGTACTAAGAGCTTAACACGCGGCTAACAACTAATACTGACTCTCCTGAACTTCGCTTAACTCAGCTTATTTAGATAAACGGACGATTCCATTTATTTCTGGTCTATATGACACTATCTATCTATCTATCTATCTTTGCACATCGAGATATATATGTTTATATATATCTATCTAATACTGCTTATATTTATCTATCCACCTAACACTGATGTTAGTAGGACCCGTCCAACCCTGAAAAGAAATGAGAAAGACCTCTGTATTCCGACTACAGACAAAATTAAGAGGATCTCTCGCTAAGGGAAGGAGAAAGATAAAATAAATACGAACATTAGGAAAGAAAAAAACTGACCTTGTGGAGATGAAAAAATGGGGCTAAAAAACAAACTGGGGAGGTTGGGAATCTCGTCTAGGATCCGACCTAATGCTAACTCGCTATTTACCTCACCTCCCCCTCAGAGTGTTCGACAAGCACTAAGGGCTTAGCACGCGGCTAACACCTAATGCTGACTCTCCTCAACTCCACTTAACTCAGCTTATTTACCTAAACGGACGATTCCATTCATTTATCTCTTATATGATATAGACGAAAAGAATACGTATACGTAACATCTATTGTTCTCATTACTTTTTTTTTTTTTCGAATGGGTGACAAGACTTTCGGACCACCCTATACGCTGACAGATCATGCAAATACGTCCACTTTCTTGTCAAACTGATAATTATTTGGCGTGGGCGTAAGCATTTCGATTAACCATACAAATACATCGTTAATCGTAAACTACAGGGTGGTCCGAAAGTCCTGTCACCCCTATATCATATAATTTTCTATTTCAACGCTCGCTGGGTCATTATCAAGGAGAGAGTTTCACATACCAGAACTCCCATCGGTTGAAGGAAGACGTTTGGAAAGCCTCTGCAACAATCAATAAAGCGCAGCTTTGTAAAATATCACACAGAACATGGCGCCGCATTATCGTGTGCCGCGAAAATGATGCTGTTTGCACAGACTTTCTCGGTGAGTGACAGCATCCCTGAAAATGAATAAATTGAATCTAGTATATATGCTTTGTATTACTGTAATACTTGTTCTATTGTTCTCATTCCATTTTTTTTTGGATTGCGTGTGACAAGAACGCAGTGTATTTTGCATAGAAAGTGTTGAAGCAATGAAAGAAAACTGAGGCTGATTTGTTTTATTTTTACGGCTCATCAACACTTCATGGGTTATTTAAAGCCGAAATATTTTTGGGAATTGTAGACGGTCGTTTAAAGTATCCGATGTTCCAAAACGAATCCCTATGTAAGTAATGTCCGAACTCAAAACTTACTTTGCTATGTGTTGAAACTTGACTAATGCATGGAATAATAATGCAACACAAAATGTACTTAGAACAAAAGGTATTGAAACAAGAAAGTGTACACAATATTTACATATAGTCTTTTGTATATTCCTGGTAAGACCGTTCCTGGAGAATGTGTTGACTGAGTCGCAGTCGGGCAGAGTCTCTGGTTGAATCTCTTGATTCCTCCCTCTCTTCCCGGTACCAACCATATTTATATGGTCGGTACTCCACTATGCAAATTAGGTGGATCCTACCACAACACTAATCGAACGACGAGGAGGAAAGTGATAAGAACAGGCTAAACATCGATTGTAGAAAGACAATATCCATAGATTGTCAGCAATCAGAATAGCCTAAGATACGAACGACGAAATGGAGATTTCAAAATCAAACAAATACGACAATTTAAATATCTAGACGGTACGGAATATGTGACAGCGAAAACCGAAGACCCATTAGTATAGCGAAAAGTGCTTTCCAAATTATTAAGAAACGGTAAAGTGTCATTAGAAAAAGAAAAAAAATGGCTCAGATACTGTGTAATATCAATCCTCATCTCTTCCAGTAAATGCAGGAAAATTTCCTCACAGAAGAAGTGAATCTTGAGACAACCGAGATGTGGTTCTACTGAAGGATGATGAGAATGTATATAAGGAAGAAGTTTTTTGAAAAATGGGAACAAAAAGACGCTTATATAAATATGATCAGGAAAAAAAAAATCAAAATTTCTAGGATACGTCACCCAGAAAAGAGGCTTAGAAAATTTGACACTCATGCAACCTACTGAAGGCGTAATGAATAAACATAAGCGTTGAGCATGGGTGACATGACAGCGACAGGGAGCGCTGGGGAAACAAAACATTGTTAAGGCCTACAAAGGAAATGATATTGTGAAGAAGTTCATTAAAACTTTCACATCCATAAGATAGGTAGAACATAGACGAAAACAAAAAAGATAAAAAAAATAGAGGTGACCCAAAAAAATGGAATTTTTTGCGTATTGCCAGACATGAGCAAGTGGCAACACTGCGAGACAGTGACCTTTGAGCAAGTAAACATTTTGCCATTTAGAATTCAGGATGAAATTCAAAGTATCCCAGCTGAGATGTTGCAGCAGTCAATGAGGAAGCAGATTTCAAGAATGCATTCGTACAGGAGGACGCCACCTACAGGACGTAATTAAAAAAAAAAATGAAAATTCCATCATTGTTTCTTAAATGGCGTGTTTTAAGGTTTCAATTACTATGAATGAAATATTTTTCTTCCATTACTCTTGGTTTTATTGGATTGTTAAAAGTTCCCGTTTTTTGGGGTCACCCTATACTTCAACACCTTATGTTTGCATTGACCTGTTTCCGGAGATGTGATACCTGGTCGGCTTAAGGTGGGGTTCTCGTGCGGTTGACAAAAATATTTGCTAATTCTTTGGCGAACATAGAGTTTATCCGAAAAAAAAAAAGATTAATTTAATATATAGGTAAGCTAATCGTCTTAGAAACGAAATCGGCCAAGTTCAAATTCGGCAAAGAATTTTGGGGAGGAAAATTTATTCTATCTCTTCTACACTATAGATTAAATAGATGCGTATACAGGGTTCTCAAGCCTTGGTTGGCAACCAGTCTAAGAGAAGGAAACACTGAATTCAAACCTTAAGAAGATAAAGGGAAACTACTCCCCTATCTTTCCAAAGAAATTTCCAGATCATAAAGAAGAGGTGTCTGTGGAGAGCCATGATCGCATACATCCTGAAGGGATATGACATTCGTTATAGACAAAACATAAAACCGAACTTATCGTTTCCATAACGCCATAATTCAGTAGATCCAAGCCTCAATATAACCGGTGATAATTTATAGGTATTGATATAGAATTAATCTCTGTCTGTTCGACACAATTCTAGAACCATCCAAAAGACGAATCGAGTCTATGAAGAAGGCGACATCTAGTGGTCAGATAGTGACACACAACACAACACCCTCACGAACGTTTTGGGAATTGCTGTCCCTAAAAAGACCTTATCAAAACTTTGTGGATTATTTATAGCCGAAATATATACTGGACTGTAAGAGGTCGCTAACCCAGTGTTCCCAAGCGGATCGACGTCTAAGCACAGTCCGAAGTTCGACACTTCATGCTTTTGAAGGCAAAAGTTGTTTTTTTTTGAAAAAAAAAAGAAGTATTGCTATATTGTTTAGAAAATAAAAAAAAATAAAAAATATCATCATCAGTCTAGAAACATTAAACAATTTACACATTCAGTTAAAAATAATAGACATCCTTAATGTCGATTAACAGAATAGCTGAAACAAATCCGATATATAGAGGACTTATAGGCTTCGACCGATCGGTATCGCTTCGCAAACTAAACTATATTCACTACTTAAAATCTTTGAAACAAAAATTTTAAATGAATATTTCATTCATAAATTGGCTTGTTATACTTAAGGAAAGTTTTGCAAATAGATGCCAACTTGTTGAAGGCCAAGTAAAATACAAATTTCAAACACTTCTCTGCACTATATAAGACAATATTCCTAAACAGAACTATTTTTGATATGAAAAAAAAATCCTCGAAAAAAAGAAGAGTAATGTTGGAGAGTTAATTAATTTAAAAAAAAAATAATATGCAAATTAGTTAAATCTGAAGAGTGATATTGACTAGATGGAGATAATATATAATATAGATATTGAGTTTCAGTGTGTAAACCCCTTCCCTGAGGTGTATATACATTCGGATACTTACCTGCCCCAGGGCTCCGTGCCTGGTCTAGTGGGATCACGGCTTTGACCAGCTTGGACCGGCTTTGACCAGTTTGGACCAGCTATGACAAGTCAAGACCAGATATCACTAGCTTAGACCAGCTTTGACCAGCTTGGACAAGCTATGTCCAACTAAGTCCAGTGGTCCGAGTGAAGGCGGTCGGGTCACCACGTTAAAAACTGACTTGTGTCACAACCTGACTCAATGGGGTGGGTCAAGAAAATATAGCATGTAAAACATTCTCCTGAGAATGCTGGAACTTACCGGTCTCAGGGATCTGTCCCTGAGCTGGTAATATCACAGCCATGACTATCTTGGACCGGCTCTGACCAGCTTGGAGAGAGTGGCAACTGAGGGAAATTATACTCAGAGGTGCCCAGCCCTGGAGAACGGCTGTCCGAGGCTGCACCCTCGCATTGCACTAGAGAGAGGGATCGGTGCTCGCATCGAGTCATGCGCAAACGACGGTTGCGGAGGCTGCGGGGAATTTTTGTTCGTGGCCCGGGTGTACTCACTCGGGATCCCACCTTAATAAAAAAAGACCTTAAGTCACAATTCGTCTTAGTGGGAGACAGAGTAAATACCTAGTGTGTAAACCGCTATTTGGAGTGGTATACACATTCTGATACTTGCCCGTCACAGGGATACGTCCCTGAGCTGGTAGTGTCACAGCTATGACTAGTTTGGAACGGCTCTGAACAGCTTGGACCAGCTAAGATCAGATACGACTAGTTTAGACCAACTAAGTCCATCTTGCACAAGTTATGACCAGCGAAGACCAGCGGCCCGAGTGTCTTCACTCGGATCACCAAGCTACAAACTAACCTTGTGCACAACCTGACTCAGTTGATGTCAAGTAA